GAATTTGGACTTTATATTTGTTAGCACCAGAACGGTACTATCCACACAAAATTAGTTTCGTAGAAAAATAATTCAAAAACGAATTTGACAATGTGCGCAGATAAACGTAGAAAGTTGTAAAAATGTCAGCAGAAATTGTCCTTTTGGGATAAAATTTAGCGACATTTTGCAGTTAACTGTGAACTCAAAAACTTAAAATTAAAGGCAGTGAAAATGGAGGCAGAGTTCAACGAGCCTCCATTTTCAAAAAGCGTGTAAGAGAAAAACTGCTTAGGAAGATAAGACAGAGTAATAAGTAGAAATAGGTGTAGGAAGTCTGATGAAGGTTAGTAGCCAACGAAAAGGCAGTAGCTTAGACTGAGTACAACCACGTGGCTTCGTTTAATTAAGCGGTGGTTAATGGAAACATCTAGGTTCCCGTGGGACGCGGGGCAGAGAAAATAGTTTCAAGAGGATCTCCTAAATTCCCGATGGTTCTTTCTCGGAGGCATGGAGGAGAATAAAATATTAATAAAATCAGTGTTAAGGTAAATTTGAAGTCTTCGCTTGAAAGCAGTCAAGTTAACGACCTAAGCTATTTGGAAATTCCATTTTATTTCCCTTACTTAGTTGTCAGTTCAGGAACTTAAGATTTACACATTTTGTTCTATTTACGCCATTATTTTTATTATGATGTGGCCTAGACAACCTTGTTTTCAATCGGAATTTTATTTTCCAGGGATCTTAGATAACATAACAGTTGCAAGAGTCTTAAATTAGTGCCTATCAATTTCATTGAACATTAAGTGTCAAACCGAATTTCTTTTACTCTCCTTGTAAAGTGTCGGCTGTTTTGAAGTTTGGCTGACCTCTTGGTTAGTAATAAGGATGCAATGCTTTAGTTATTTTTGCCCTTCGCCGATCTTTAGTCTACAGCTATGTTTCTTTTAAATAGTGTATAAGTTAACCGACATCTGAAGATTTTTACCGCCGCCTAGTGGGCTTTTTTCTGTTTTCGTTGATGAATTAAAATTAATGCCGTTCCGTTCGCACATTTGTTTCAATCTTGGGTTAGATTTGTTTCACACGCTCAAGCGCTCATCTAGCAAATTCTTTCTCATTTTTGAAGACAACATGAACCTATCCAACCTTTTAATTAGCTGAACACGCCCTTTGACGGCTACGCTTAATCGTAAAATCTTCTATTTATTTTCGATACTAACATGCAGTATGATCAAAAAATTTGAGGTTTGATATGAAATTCCCTTTTGTAAGTATTTGACCTGGAATGTCATTTTATAACCTGTCATTCAAATGTTGCTATTTACGGTACTAGTTGTCATTTCCCTCAGGTACTTCTCCGTTGTCGTTGTTGCGACTGG